GTGTGTGTGTGTGTGTGTGTGTGTGTGTGTGTGTGTGTGTGTGTGTGTGTGTGTGTGTGTGTGTGTGTGGAAATATTTTATTTAAACAGAAGTTTTAACATTGAAAGATATTTTATACTTTATATCTTAAACTGCATTTCTATAGTCACTGTTAATCTTTATGTAGTATATATATATATATATGTAACATGAGCTATGAATTATTAAGCTAGCAATCTGCCTTTAAAAATGGCATTAGAACGGTTTTTATGTGCTAATTATATGTTCTAGTGCTAGTTTTTGTAGTCTAATGTTTGTCTCGAACAGTTTAGCAGAAAATTGTGATTGAAAATGAGATACTGACTCAACGTCAAGTTAGCCTTCGTTCATTAAATTATATATAATGTAAAAAAGTTTAATTACAATAATAGTTTAATTACAATAATTACAATAATTACAATACTTTTATGTGTTTTTATGTGCTTAATTTAATAAAATTAACATATCTGTAATAATTCAAAAAGTACGTCAATACACTCACATACATATACACACAGGAAATCTTTCGTCAAGCGGGCCATCTCTTCCTTCAAAAATTAACGCAATAAAAAAAATTTAAGGTCTCAAAATATTTATGTACTTGTTTAATTTCGAATGGAACGTAACTTTTTAAAAAAATTTTATTTAGCGCCTGAAATCCTCAAAAGTCACGAATGATCCTATACAATATCTTTGATTACAATGTAAAAACTTGACAAATCTGTTTGAAAATGATTCGCGAACATCATATATACCTTTCTCCTGTCGTCCTTCTCTCTCTCTAAATTATATGATTTAGCACAAAAGTATTATCAATCATCAACTTTTCTTTCCTGAAGTCTGCCTGGCTTTCCGATATTTTTTATCTCAGTTTCTAGTCTATTCCTTAATACCTCAGCATATATCTTATATGCACAGCAGTGATATCTCTCTATAAATCGCGACCTTTTCCTGGTTGCTTTTTGTCTATATAAATAATATAATTTCAAAATCTAATGTCTTATTTTAGCATTACAAGAAAATAAAAAAATAACGAATCGTTATTTTCTAAATAATGGTATAATACATTTTTTTTTAATTAGTTACACGTATCAGTAATGAATTATCTATTATAAAAAATAATGATAACGGTAACGCGTTATTTTTAAAAGTAACGTTCCCAATCCTGACATTAATGAATCGAAAGGTTCATTATTTTAATCTGGTTCATTATTTTAAACTGTATTATATCTCAGGTATTGTCACATATTGAAGAGATTGCGGACATATTCGGATTAAGATATTCAAGGAAACCTCGCACTACAACGAAAATAGAATATTCCGACAGTGAAATGGAATGACCTACCTCTTAAAATAATAAATTAGACAATTCATTTCTTTGATAAATAGAAAAAATATCAAAATAGTTGAGGGCTTTAAATATCGTCAATAACTCCTCTACGATTCATCATATCGTATGAGAAATTTATATTACAATTATTACAATAAACTAGCGCATAAATTTTTCACAAAAATAGAATGTGACGATTTATATATGAAGTTAAGGAATAACTGGAGAATATAATTCATACGGAATAATGCGAATTAGAAAAGAAGGGGAGAGACTAAATTATAGTATATTAAAAAATTGTATTATATTTCAAGATGCAAAACTTTTTACTATAGTTTTTTTCCGATGTCGATTTTATGCCAAAAGAAAGTGCTATTTACAAGCATTTTACAGATATATATGATATTTCACTATATTTTGTATTAGGATTACAAACTTCAGAAATATATCGCGCTTTATTATGAAAGGATAAGCATAAAATGACGTAAAAAATTAGATCTGTGACTACTTGTTTTTTTCTATTTGTCTTTTGTTTTGAAATAAGAAATTACGCTGACCTCCAGATATCTTCTTTTTTTTCACGATCACCATAATCCCTACACATTAAATGAATTGACGAATTTGATATTATCAAATATCAATAAATTATATTATACATATTAATTTTATCATTTATATATTCTCACAGTAATTATGCACAGTTGAAAAAATATTCTAAGATTGTGTGATTAAAGTACGTAGATTAAAAATTATGCAAATATTAAAACTATACTTTTATTTTTTTTTGTTACAACTGGGCTTATCTGTCAATTATCCTGAAATGTAACAAAAAAAATTAAAGTATAGTTTTAATATTTGCATAATTTTTAATCTACGTACTTTAACACAATCTTTCTTCAACTATGTCAATTCCATTATCATTTCTGATTAGGAGGCTATGTATTAGAAGGTCCAAATATAATAGTCCTATATAATGCATTATGTACTTTTTTTTTTAATTATACACATATATTATACACATATATTTATTTATAATTATATACATATACAAGGTGCCTTTTAAAAGTTATATAGTCTAAAAGGGGATAGATAAAAATAATTTTCAAAAAAATTGATTTTTTTAAGATCACATTTAAAAGTCATCATTTTTTAAATGGAATTATGATTTCTTTTTACATAATATGATTCTAGTTCTTTTGCATATAAAAATATTAAGGCATAAGATAACAAAAAATCAATAATTTACGAGGTTTTATGTTATTTTGGCATATTTTAACAATTCTTTTATATACAGAATAATTAGTGTCATTATAAGGTATAAAAAAAATATAATTTCATTTTAAAAAATTAACAATTTATTGTACATTTTATTGTACATTTTATGTACAATTTATTGACTTTCATGTAATCTTAAAAAATAAATTCTTTCAAAAATTAATTTTTTCATTAATTTGTCTCTTTTCAAACAATACAACTTTTGTCTGAATTTTTTGATAAATGCTTCGTTTTCAAGACATTCCACTGTTTTCAATAAAATAAAATTTAAAATATAATACATTACGTATATACACATTCATTACATATATATAATCATGAATGTATATAATATGTATTCGTATCTTTATTATTTGAAAATGGAACAATTGCTTTACTTTTAGCTGTTAAAAATAAATATTTTTATACAAAAAGCTGTTTTCATGCACATTCCTTAAAATTTAATGTAAAAATCGAATTTATAATCATTTATAATTTATTAGTTCATTTAAGTTTAAAAAAATAATTTTATAGACGGAAATGTGTATTGCTAATTGATATACAGAGTGGATAGTAAATGCTTTAAAATATTTTTAGGGGTAATTTCTCACATAAATTCAAAATGAAAACTTAATATGTCGGTTTCAAAGATAGATGTCAAAATTGAAAAAAAATTTCATATTTTTTTCAAAAATTTTGAAAATCAGGATATTTTGGCCCACTCAGGTTATTTTGATGAAACTTTCAAAATGACCAAAGTAATTTTTGAATTTCTTGGAAAAAACAAATTTTTTTAACTTTGACCTCTTGTATCTTTGAAATTAAGCCATTTCAGATAAATGGTCATATAAAGTTTTCGAATTTATGTGAGGAATTACTCCTTAAAATGTTTTAGAGTATTCAGTATCCACTCTATAATATTTCCTCTTATTTACATTTAACTCAACATAATCAATGTTACATTTGTTTGATTTAAATTTTTACTTGATATTAAGTGAGAATTTAAATCAAACAATATAACATTGATTATGTTGAGTTAGATTTAAATAAAACAATAAATTTTGAAAACTGAAAATTAATATAGATGTTAACATTTATTCAAATCGATAAATACGTTTCTGAATCTTAATTAATTATTTTAAATAAAAATCATATAAACGCATACATTATACATATCAACACAATTTCTTAAAAATATCTAGATAACTATCTGATATTTATTTTTAATAAAGCCTTTTAAAATTTTTATACTCAAAATAATTTTCTTTGTAATAAGATAAATTAAATATTTTTTGTAATGTATTGAATTTAAGCAAGGAATAATAAACATTGATGAAATAATAAAACAATGAAACATGTTTCAAATTATCTCTGTTAAAAAATAATCATTATTGGAATTCCATTTTCATTAAATATTACATTGTATCTAAATTCCGTATCAAATTGTGGTTTAAATATATAGTTTTCGTACTTGAATGATCTGAACAATTTTTAATTCGAACTTTACATTCGCATTACTAGAAGTGTTCAATAATCACAAAATTGTGAGCAATACTTATTATTATATGAAATAATACGAATAAATGAAAATACATACTTGTTTATTAATAATAAAATAGATAAACTTTATTACATTTTTAAATGTAAAAATGCCATATTTTTTATGATAACTAAAATTTTGGTACAGTACTAATTAAACATATAAATTATATTTAAAGACATCTTATTAATCACTTTTATGATTATATTAACACTGCTCGCATTTGATATCATTTCTTTTTGTGAGCGATATGTAAGCAGTTATATACATTTATTTTAATATAAACTGGAAAAATTAAAATATATTATTACGTCACACGTTCGTAATCTTTAATTATAAGGAAACGAATACTACGTCACTGAAAGTTAATACTGTAAACCTCTCTAGTTTTTCAAATAACATTTAAGTGCTTTTTACATATATACATCAAATATATACTTGCATTTTAAAAAATTATGTAGATTTGATTCAGTGACTGCTTGTTAATTATAAGAAAATTAATGATATATTAATAGATAGAAAACAAAATCATCTTTTAGGTGACAATTTGTAAAATTCTGTGTAAAATTTCTTTTCGATATATTCAGCTTTCTGGATTCACTTAGACAAGTGCAAATTCAAGCACTTTTTTTTAGAGAAGTGTAAATCAAGCAGAATTTTTTAAGCTGAGTTTAATCGAATCGAATTTTATTTCTTTATTCGAATCTGAACTGAATCGAATTGATAAAATTTTATCTTGAATCAAATCGTTGAAACGCTTTTAATTAACAACATAATTATTATTAATTTGAATTTCAATATGTAGGTAATAAAAAAGATTTATATCCATTTGATTTATTAGCGGAAAATATGATTTTATAAGATATAAGTTATATAAGATAATGATTTTATATAAGATATATAAGATATAGATTATATATAAGATATAGATTTTGTATGTGTGATTTGTATTCGCGAATCTCTTAGATTCGAAATTTTTGAATAGTTTATATTCGAATCATAGAGATTCAAGTCGAATCGAATCTTATCTGATTTGATTCGATTCAGATTCGAATATCGAATAGTTTTTAGTTTTATTAATAGTTTGCCATACAAGATTATATGGACGATTACTTTTATTATTCTCAAATTAAAATTTTTTTAACAATTATTTATTATATTATTATTGTGAATAATTATATTTTCATGTTATTATAAAGTAATATAAAATTATAAAGCATGATTCTCAAACTGTTATTATCGTAAAATTAATTTAAAAAACATGAGCATTAAATAGGTATATCTGCTGAAATTAGAGCAATGTAATACTTACAAGTAAAAAAAGATCTACCCAAAAGATATAGAAATTAAACATGTATGTAGAAATTTTATATTTAAAGCAATAAGATGAGTAATCGTTCACATGATTGTTACGAATTGTATATTATCATTGTATATTACAATTAGATCCTAATGGCTAGAATATTACTGTATAAACTTTAAAAAGATCCTGTTAATATTTGCTTGCAGGTATAGAATGTATATTGTATTTTCATGATACGCCTCAAATTTTAATATGCTAAAGTTCTAATTATTTTTAATTTATTTTAAGATTTAAAAAAAATTTTTAAATATTTTATAATAAAATTTACTATTCAGATAAATGTTTATTGAGTTAATCTGATCCCTTATTATATTCCGGTCCTCCAGTATCCTCCAACAAGCCATTTTAGCCATCACTCGTTATTCGTTAAAAAATTATTAACAAGAAAAGTTCTGCTATATAAAACAAAAATCTTATAATAGATTTCCTACTTGAATAATTCAACGATTGATTAATTATTATATATAATATTTAATTTCAATGATTGATATCTTGGGTCGCAGGGCAGAGCAACGCTTTTTTTCTACTAGATTCTTTCGCTTCATGCAAAAACGCGTCGAATAAACCTAATTTTATATAGTTTTAAGTAATATTATAATTTTAATTTGTGGATGTAGCACAGATTCGCACCACATCAATCTTCGACATTTTCTGTGCTGCTTTGTGCTATAATTTTATCGACAGGATTAGAAAATTGATGTAGCCATGTAGTATATGAACCAAAAATGGATGTACTGGCGCTAGTGTGCTCACATCGTAGTATTTACTATTTCATGACAGATTTTCCTAACCTGAATTCCTGAATAGTTATCAATTTTACCGATTAATATCTCGCTTTGCGGAGCAGAGCGACATTTTTTTCTATCAGATTTTTTCACAAAAACTTGTCGAGTGTATGTCTAATTTCATCAATATTGGAGAGAAAAGAACTGAAGTATTTACCGTTTCATGCAAAAACGCATCGAATAAGCTTAATTTCAACATTGCAAAAGAAAGGACTAAAGTAAATATTTAGCAAATATTTTAGACTGATCTCATTTCAGCATTGAAAAGGTATCGAATCGTTATTTTTTAAGTAATGGCAAAACTGATTTTACAACGAGTCGATAGTCAGAAATCTTAAGTCTTTATCAGAAATCTTTATCATTCTTAATCTGAACAGATGATTATAATTGTTTGCATCTATAAGTTATTAATTGTATAGTGAGCGTTTAGTTCAACTAGTGAGAAAGAGTAAAATCAAATTTGGTCAGTCTTAAAAAAATCAGTTAGTTTTAATTGTACAAGTTGGTTATTGACTACTGACTCATTGAATTAATACAACAAGTTACTCTTGAGGATCAATAAACAGTATTAATTATATACTTTTTTAATTTGATAATGAGTAACGATAACTTGTTACTTTTAAAAAGTTTAAAACTTGTAACTTTTCCCACAATTAATAATTTTTCCACAATTTCTTTAGGTAGAAAGAGACTCAATAAATATATTTTATTAAAATGTAAATAAAAACTGTATTCAGTAAATATTTACTGAATACAGAACCAAAGGGACATATGTCAAAAAATTTAAACATTAATTTCAAGATATATAAATAGAAAAAGAATTACAAAATGGTAATATATGGTGTTTATATTGTATCTAAATCTGGTGGTTTGATCTTCAATCATGATCACAATGTCCCGAAAATTGAGGTCGAGAAATCCTTTAATTTTCCACTCAATATTAAATTAAACTATGAGAATAAAAAGGTAGTGGTAGCTTTTGGACAAAAAGATGGAATACATGGTAAGAATATTATCTATTGTAATAAAAAAATCATTTTGGAATTATAAAATGAAAGAAAAGTAAAGGCTTTAAACTTTGCAATGTTAGTTCATATGTTCAAATAATAAAAAAGTTTATATATACATATAGAGTTTATTTATAAAATTTTAAATAAGATTCGAATATACTGTATATCTTAATGACATTAAATATTTCTTTTTTTTTCTTTTACAGAAACTATAACAATATATACATATTATAGACAAAAACTGTAATCTTAAAGCTTAATGTTTTTGATGTTTTAAAAAAATTTGTTTTAATGATCAATGTACAATAATGAAACAAACTTGGGTATTATTTTTCTTTCATATTGGGTATTCTTATAATGTGTCATTAAATATTTTAATAAAGTACCAAAAAACAGGAATAAATATAAGAGAGAATCAAATATTTTTCAGTTGGACATGTATTAACAGCTGCAAATGGAATTGCAATCACAGGACGTGAGCTTGAAGATGGAAGAGACATCCTCGAAATGTTGGAGCAACCAGATAATTTCCCTATAACATTGAAATTTAGTCGGGCAAAAATGACGACAAACGAGAAGATATTTTTAGCTTCAATGTTTTATCCTCTTTTTGCAATAGCAAGCCAACTGAGCCCAGAACCACGAAGTTCTGGGATTGAGATTCTCGAAGCGGATACATTTCGTTTATATTGTTACCAAACATTGACAGGTATTAAATTCATGATAGTAGCAGAGCCGTCACAACCAGGAATGGAAATTTTTTTGAAGAGAGTATATGATTTGTATGCGGATTATGCATTAAAAAATCCATTTTATGCGTTGGAAATGCCTATTCGATGTGAATTATTCGAAACTAATTTACAGACATTGTTGGAAACTGTAGAAAAATCTGGAATAAGCAATGTTTAATATTTAGGTATTAATAAATTAATTTAAAATAATTAAAGTATATATA